GGTTTGGCAACGCCAAAGTTGAGAACTACCTGTACTTCCATACTGTCATTATTTCCAATCTCAGCCTTCCTTTGTCCAGCCTACCTCATGATGTTGAGATCTTGAGGCAAATGGTCACTGCTCCATCCTGAATTTTGGTAACTGGGATATAAAATTCCTTCCCTTCCCCAATCCACCAAAGAGGAAATACACTTCTCAGGTACCCACCCTTACCTTTGCTTGTTTTGTAGTTTTGCTTGGCAATCTCCCCAAAATTCTGAGTGGCTTCTAGGAGGAGGAGTTGAAAGCCATCACACCTTTTTCACTCAGGAATAACTTGCTTGGATGATAGAAATCTCATTGCTGGGAAGTGTGAGGATACATTTCTGGCAAACTACAAAAATGAACCATCTACAACAGGGGTCTTCAAACCTGGCCCTTTTATGACTTGTGGACTTCAACTCCCAGAATTATTCAGCCAGCGTGCCTCATAAAAGGGCCAAGTTTGAAGACCCCTGATCTACAAGCATAAACCACAACCACAAGCCTGAAAGATGTAACTGTTTCTTTTAAGTCCCTCACAGTTGAGCTCAAGCAAGGCTGATTTAGATCCAGAACTGGTTCAGAGTCTTTGGACAGAAGTGCTCTATATTCATTGAGATTTGTGCAGTTGTGTGCAAAAGTTATATAAAACAGTGTATATGGGGGCCTGGATATAATATTTGTATTTCTTCTGCTTTGGGAACTTAAAGCAAGATGGATTGAATATACCATTCAGATAGTATTGCTAAAGTTTCTCTTTCTACAGTTATTGAACATCAGAACCTGGAAACCACCAGACCTCCAAAATGCATTGTATACAGTCATTTAAAAGCCATGGTGATGCAGTAGTTAGAATGCAGTTTTGCAGGCTAACTATACCCACTGCTAGGAGTTTGATCCTGACCAGCTCAAGGTTGACTCAGCCTTCCATCCTTCCGAGATAGGTAAAATGAGGATCCAGATTGTTGAAGGGCACTATGTTGACTCTGTAAACTGCTTAGAGAGGGCTGTAAAGCACTATGAAGCAGTATATAAATCTAAGTGCTATTGCTATTTCAGTGCAAAGCTCTACGAGTTCAATTCCTGATCAAGAGTTTGAATCCTATGCATTACCATCGGGGTTTCCATGTGTAATGAAGGTCAAATGGTGCCTACAGATGTTTTACTTTTCTGGGATATTTCTTTGGTTTCCCAGCCTAATCTAAAATTTCCCTGCAAATACTATCTAGGCTCACCCCTGATTAGCTTCTGAACCCAGACAAAATCCACCAGATGTTATCATCCACTGAGAAATTTTCCTACTATTATTTCCAATGTTTGCATTGCTTACAAGAGGAGAAACCAAAATGGCTCTTTCATTGGGTAGCATTAGGACCCATTCAGAAATAGGCCAAATGCTAAGGGAAAATCAGAACAAAATCAGGAAATCTCTCCACCTCCCCCCACAAAAAAAGGTCTAGAACTGAAAGCAATCCTTGGGGGGGGGGAGGATTAGACCTTCCAATAGACATTAAGCATTGGTGCTTAAGAAAAAGGGCAAGGAGAAAACCAAAACCAATATCAGCCAATAAATCTACCTGGGATCTAGGTTGGGGGATTGCCTGGAAACTGATTATTATAAATAATGTATTCTGTTATTTCACCTTCAGCATTTATGGCTTTTTAATGCCTTGAGGATGAAGATTCGTTCTCTGAGCTTGTGGGTTGGTTTCTGAATGTTTCGTTATCAAGCTAGGTAGCATCTTCATCTTTTCAATGTCTTGTCAGTTAAGCAATGGAGGCTTGAGTGGGCTGAGTTTAGGGCATCAGTTGGCCTTAATCCAGCTCTGCCAGGATTATCTATGTAATCAGGCACGTTACCTACGTCTCACAGAGAAACTCACACCCGTGACATAAAGATTTTACCCTGGTCTTCAGAAAGGTCTGCATTTTTCAGAAAGAAAGAAAGAAAGAAAGAAAGAAAGAAAGAAAGAAAGAAAGGAGGGAGGGAGGGAGGGAGGGAGGGAGGGAGGGAGGAAGGAACTTTGTTCTCAATCCTTCTCTCCCTCTTAGCAATCTTAGATATCCCTGGAGGAGGGATTTGAGGAAGAAAGGTTTAATCTTGCCCCTGAAATGCTAGTCTTCTGTGGGTAAGGATTTTATTCAGTGCAATACGGAAAAACATTTATTTACACAGTCTGAGCCGAGGCACAAATTTATCTTCTCCATAAAGAACAAGGGGAGAGATAGAATCTGAAAAATCCTCTTTCATTTTTGTTAATCTCACATTGCCTTAAAGGTGACTGGTTTAAATTTAAATGTTAAAGCAGATCAGTAACTTGCAAATGAAATTCAGCTATGTGATGCCTCCAAGGAAGTGAAGTGAAGAATGAAAATGAATTAATTTGAAGTAGACACTTTCTCTCCAATACATAAATGATGATTTGAACATAGTAACATTACTAAAAGTACAATAATGGATTGTATTCCTTAAAGAAAGTTATACTTTCAGAAGCTGTATGAAATTGTATGATGTTATTTGCCAATATCTACCGCCACGTATGTATGGTAGATGTTTTCTCCATATACCCCTCTTCTCTCAATACTTTATATCAAGTGTTCTTCCTCAACCCTGGCAGCTTGAAGATATGTAGACTTCAACTCCCAGAATGTCCCAGCCATCCACCCTCCCAAAATCAAATCAGTTTCCATAATTTTCAGTTAACATGGTCTTGCAGTCCTACTCATCTGCAGAAAATGCTCTTCCATTATTCAGAACAGTGGTTCTCAACCTGTGGGTTGGGCCCCCATTTGGGGTCGAATGACCATTTCACCGGGGTCGCCAAACAACGCAGTCCGCCATTTTTCCCCCCTTTTCCTTAGCTGTGCTACTCCCTTTTATTCTATTGGCTTTTGAAAGCCAATAGAATAGACTCTCTTGAATAGAGTCTAATTCTATTGGCTTTCAAAAGCCAATAGGAATTGTCCAGGCTGTCTCTGCCCTGCTGAGCCCGCCAAAAGTCCCATTCTGCAAACGGTGCTGCACCAGTTGAGTAGTCCTTGACTTACGACTGGTTGAGTAGTCCTCGTCGTATGACTGGTTGGGGGTCGCGGCATTAAAAAGGTTGAGAACCACTGATTTAGAAAATGCTCTTCCATTATTTTAGCCAAGCAAAAGACCTATGGTGTTCCAGAAGGAGCAATCACTTTGTTTACAATTTTGAAAAAAAAATATTAGTCTGGCCCTAATATTTCAAAACAATTATTGTGAAGAAAAGGGTTATGAGTAGTTTGGATTTCTGAATAAAATTGCAAAAAGGAATGCAAAATCTTGATTCATTTTGGATGCCTCTGACTCAAAATCCAACTGGAGAAATTCAAAGTTCAGGGAGTTGAAGGCTTTTGCACAGGAGCAAACACACTTTTCCTGGTCCAGTCTGGAATGTCTAAATGGGATCAACTTAATTTTCCCCCAAAATCCAAAAATCAAAATCATATCAACTTTCCAGACTTATCTAAAAGTCTGAATGAAAGCAGCTTTCTGAGACAATTTCCCTAGTGCTGGTCTCTTTGTTTCTCTCTCCCTCCCAAAGAAAGTCTATTTTAAATAAATGCAGAATTAAATCAAACTTAGGCTTTGAGAAGAGCTTAGCTGGTCTTGTATCTTAATCAACCCATATGCACCATCTCTGATGACAAGTCTTAGCCAACCAACCAGAAAATTACCTTGTGACTCACCAAATGATACTATAATTAAATGACAAACCGACCCAACTAGTTTTAATTACAGTCGTTAAAATACTGGGTGGAAAAAATATTGCGTCTGAGATCCATATGGGGACAGAAAGAGATTTGCCCCCTTTATTCAGGCTCGCCAAGTTACTAGAGGCTCTAGGGGGCGCTGTTTAGTCATCTTCTCATACAGTGCAGCCTTCTGTGGTGGCGTTGTCTTGATCTCTTCCAGTTACAGTAGATTGGTTCACAGTAAATTGGATTCTTTGGCCCAGCATTCCGTGGACAGTGACAGTTACAGACAGGTATCTTTGAAGAGCAAAAGGCTGGAAGAGCCTGATTTCTTTGAAGAGGGAATTATAGGCTAACGTCTACGTGGCAGGTTGCTTTACTGTATTATTTGCAATCACATCTATGTTCCGGAAGTCAGCTGTAGATATAAACAATGCTGTGTTGATAAATGATTAACTTCGTTACTTTATTCAACTGTAAGTAGTTAAGGAAGCTGGGTTATTAATTTACTGGCTCTGAAAGGCTTTGGGGGGAGAGAAGGAAGACCCAAGGAGTCAACAATCAAAACTTCACAACTGGGAAATAATTTTAATAGGTTTCACCATGTCAAAATTGCAAACTTTTCAATTGGGGAAAAAGATACAGCCAACACATGTGTTGGGTTGTTGTTGTTTTTTTACTATTGCCCAGATCTTGCAAAGTTAGCTGATGATGTATCCCAATGATGGGATTCAAATATGTGAACAACTGGTTCTCTCTGTGGATGCCGCTTCCAGAAGTCCATTCTGGGCTTGGGCAACAAAAAATTAGCTACCGGTTCTGCTGAAGTGGTACAAACTGGCTGAATCCCATCACTGATGTATCCGCTTAAGACAGGGGTGTCCAAGCTTGGCATCTTTACAACTTTTAAGACCTGGCATCTTTAAGACATGCTGACTGGGGAATTCTGGGAGCTAAAGTCCACAAGTCCTAAAGATGCCAAATTTGGACACCCCTGTCTTAAGAGAAGAACTTCAAGGGTGTCCCAGGGAGTTTTTGGAAGATACTGAACATTCCCTCCCTTTTACCAATATTGGAATAGAAATTGCCTTCCGCCTCAGCTGTCTCGCAAGAAACTACCCCCCCCATACACACAAATACACAAGCACTCTGAAGGATCATGTGGAAACAGCTTTGTATGACAAAGCCATTCATTTATCTAGAACAGGTGTATCCAACCTTGACAGCTTTAAGACTTGTGGACTTCAACTCCCAGAATTCCCTAGCCAGCCATGCTGGCTGGGGAACTCTGGGAGTTGAAGTCCACAAGTCTTAAAGCTGCCACGGTTGGACACTCCTGCCTTAAGAGAAAGATCTCAGCGGTTCCCCAAGGAAGATTTTCGGAGCGTCTCGACGGCATTTCCCGGGGCGAGAGAAGCCGCACCTTTGGGCTCAAACCCGGATCGAAACCGTTCCGCAACGGCGAGCTCGAAAACCAGGATGTTGTCTTAGCCTTAGCGCCAGCCCGCGCTCCCACTAGGCCGCCGAGGAGCGGCCGGTTTGCCGCGCAGCTCCCCCCTCCACCACCGGCTGCAAAGAGGGAAGCAAGTCCGGGCCGAGGCGGCGTGGGAGGGGTTTTACCAGGGCCGGCAGCGGCGTTGCTCGGCAAAAGCCCGACCACGAGCCGGACGGATGAGTTAGATGGGGAGGCGTCCAGAAGCGGCGACAGTAAGTGGCTTCTTCCGCGGCTCTCCGGCTTGCTTTTGCGCGGTCCCGCCGAGGCTTTGTTCGCCTTGGCGCTCGGCTGCCGTTCCTTCCTTCCTCCTCCGCTTGCAGCGGGCCTTCGCTTTTCCACGCTTCCTTTGAGGGTCGGGGCTTAACGCGTGTCTTTATTGTACGTCTGAACCTGGCTGCTCGGTTTGCCGGACGAAATGCTACGAATCCCGGGTTGTTTTCTTTAGCGAATCGCTTGAAGGCTGTATCTACGCCGCCCTCCTTACGGCGGGTATAACGTTTTCTGACGAATCCCTCGCCATCCTCTGCCTATGAAAGAGAGATTTCCGGACTGGATGGCGAAATTTAGTTTCTGTTACTTTGTTAAACTTGCGAGGAAGTCTGCCCGGCGGGGCGCGCGCGCGACTCTCGCGTGCGCGCTAGACCAAAAACAACTTTTGAACGTCTGCATATAGGCAAAAAATTCAGAATTCAGCCAGGCTGGGACCTGTAAGGCTTCATCTTTTCCAGGGTCAACCTAGGACAGGGGTCTGCAACCTTGACAACTTTTAAGACTTGTGGACTTCAGCTCCCAGAATTCCTCAGCCAGCTATGCTGGCTGAGAAATTCTGGGAACTGAAGTCCGTAAGTCTTAAAGTTGTCAACCCCTGACCTAGAAGGATACAGCCATGGTGTTTGGCTTTGGGGTTGACCCAGCCCTTCCCCATAGGGTGTCCTTAAAGGTATTGGCTATACAAGTAGCCCTAATAGTTTGTTTAGTAAGCATTTGAAGTTACAAGGACACTAAAAAAACCACTTGTGACCATTTCAGCATCCCCATGGTCATCTGATTTACATTTGGATGCTTGGCAACCAGTTCCTATTCATGACGGTTGCAGTGTCTCTGGGGTCATGGGATCCCCCATTGCAGCCTTCTGACAAGCAAAGTCAATGGGGAATTCAGATTCATTTAACAACTGTGTGACTAACTTAACTGCAGTGATTCACTTTACAAATGTGGCCAGTGGCGGGATTCAAATATGTGAACAACCGGTTTTCTATGTGGATGCTGCTTCCAGAAGTCCATTGTGGGCTTGGGCAACAAAAAATTAGCTACCGGTTCTGCCAAACTGCTGCAAACTGGCTGAATCCCACCACTGAATATGGCAAGAAAAGTCTTAAAATGGGTCAAAACTTACTTAACAAATTTCTCACTTAGCAACATAAAATTTGGGCTCATTATGGTGGGATGTTGAGGACTACCTGTAGATCAGGGGTGTCAAACTGCCGGGTGGCGTCATGCAGAAGCCACACCCACCCCATTGCCAGCAATTGCAAAACTCTCCCGATATGTTGCATGACGTCATGTGACAGCGAGTTTGACATGTCTGCTGTAGATTCTATTATTCTCTCCTCCCCCCCCCAAATGAAAGAGCAGCTGGAGAAAAGAGAGCCTACAGATAAAATGGCTGTAAGAGATAATTATTCAAATTATTCACAACTGGGCTGTTGTGATTTAGAGCAGTTTTTCTCAACCTTGACAACTTTAAAATGTGTGAACTTTAAGTAAAATTGCCAAGGATGAGAAAAACTGATCAAGAGTATTTGAATCCTGAGACATCTCTTGGGCTGGAGTCCTTTCTCCTTTTTATGCAGCAAATAGCTGCCTTCCACATGTAGTCCTCAGTTTACAACCATTCATTTGGTGGCCATTTGAAGTTACAGTGCCACTGGAAAAAGTGACAACTGGTCCTTAAACTTAAGACTGTTGCAGCATCAACATTTGGGTGCTTGGCAACTGGCATATATAGTATCTATGTGATGGTGCAGTGGTTAGAATGCAGTATTGCAGGCTAATTCTACCAACAGCCAGCAGTTCGATCCTGACCAGCTCAAGGTTGACTCAGCCTTCCATCCTTCCGAAGTTGGTAAAATGCGGACTCAGATTGTTCGGAGGGGGGCAATATGCTGACTCTGTAAATCGCTTAGACTTAGAGAGGGCTGTAAAGCACTGTGAAGCGGTACACAAGTGCAAGTGCTATTGCTGTTACGATGATTGCAACATCCTGGGGTGATGTGATCACCATTTGCAACCTTCCCAGCCAGCTTCTAACAAGCAAAGTTGTTAGAAGACAGATTTACTTAAGGACCATATGAGTTTTTAACAACTGCAGTGATTTGCTTAACAACTGTGGCAAAGTAACAATTTAGAACAGGGGTGTCAAACTGCTGGGCCATGGGCCGGTTGCATCATACGGAGGCCGCACCAACCCCAGCAGTGCAAATAAAAAAGTCATGATATGTCGTGACACGTCACGTGACCTGGCGAGTTTGACATCCTTGATTTAGATGGGTTTTTTCCCAAGTAAACGCAACACAAGCCCTCAAACTCTCCCAATAAAGTCATATGACAAAATAGAGTCAGAAGACAGATTTCTTATTGGTGCTGGTAAGACTCGGTGTGCCTGCAGATACTGCCTCGATCACTCATTAGACTCTCTGTTCCACCAGAGTTTTTAGATATGTTTAGATTAGTCAAAATGTTTAGAAAAGGGCAGAATGCCAGCCCAGAGTACTCTCTGTTTCTGGTTGCAATTACAGTCACCAAATCAATTGTAAACATCCCCAAACCAAAAAATAAGACAAGGATTTTTTTGGCCCATTTTCCCAGAAAAAGGTGAAAGGGGAAAGGGTTTACAAGGAACATCCATACTGGCAGAAGATCCCCAGCTGATTCTAAAAAAAAAAGAGCAAAATCAACACAGAATGATCCACATCTTTCCTTTTTAGACCTGATCAGCATCTTGTCTTTTTTGCCCCCCCCTCTCCCCCTCCAGGTCTCCTGATCACTAGTTTGCCTTCTGCCTAATATATATGTTAATACCAAGTATAGCAACCATTTTGTGAACAGGCAGTCAAGCTATCCTATTCCAACTGTTTTGTCTAAGTGTCCACTCAGGACAATTGATTATGGCAGATTATCTCTCTCTCTCTCTCCCTCTCTCTCTCTCTCTCTCCCTCTCCCTCCCTCCCTCCCTCCAGACACACACACATGCACACACAGAGAGAGAGGGAAGGAGGGATAGAGAGAGAGGGAGGGAGGGAGAGAGAGAGAGAGAGAGAGGGAGAGGGAAAGCAAAAAAATGAGGAAAACTGTTGCTGGATTACAAATAAGTGCACAATGCCCAACATTTTTTCTGGTCCAGTTATAGCAGGGGTCTCCAACCTTTTTGTTTTGGTGGGAGACGGAGGGGCAGGCCCCTTACATGCATGCATGCATGAATGTGGCCACATATTCATGTGTACGTACAAAGGCTGAGAGTGTGTGCACCATGCAAATGGGGCTGCGAGCATGCACATGAGGCTCTCAGTGACAGCGACACCTGTGTGAGGCTTGTGGCGCCGCCTCCAGGCTTGCAGCAATGCTACCATCAGCATGAGGCTCGCACTGTGGCCCGCAGTATAATGCCACCACCATGCGAGAGTCACGCTGCAGCCTATTTGCCGTTTGCAACGCTGCCGCCGTCCATGCAATACTACAGCGCTGCCACTGCCCGCACAACACTTACGGCAACAGTGGCACGAGGGGGGGTGAGTATGCGCACACGTGCATGCACTGCCCAGCTACTCATGCGACCTGGCGGCCAAGAGGCCGCAGCCCAGTAGGGGGCCACAGCCCATAGATTGGGGACCTCTGAGTTATAGGACCTGCTGGAATGTTTAATCTGTTGCTGCAACACTTAATGATAGCTAGATGGGATTTTGTTTCTCAATATACTCAAGGATAGGATTACCAGTGCTCCATTGCAGAACTATGAACCACCAATAGAGAGCAGGAAAGAGTAAATATTCTGTATCTTTGCTGCCATGTAGCAACTCTCTGGAATGTTGCCGACTGTATCTGGTAACTAATTAGTCAAGGAGCCTACATCCTTTCATGGAGAACTTCTCAACCTCAGCTTCTGGTGTCTTCAGGTAGGATTGGGTAAACTTTCTCCATCCTGAAGGGAGCAAAAGTCATCACTTAGAACACTGGACTGAAGAAGCCAACATCTGACTTGATACCAAATATCAGATATCAGATCTAATAATAAGATTTATATATTTTTTTAAGGTAGACCAGTATTTCCACTCTTATCTTTCATAAGTTGAGAACTGAATTCGGGTTGCAGGAGCTAGAAATCATCCCCATTGTGCATATCTATTGAAAGAAAGAAAGAAAGAAAGACCTAACTTAATGTATAGCTCTTTGTTGCTACGAAGAATTAAACCATACAATAATTCTGATGGCGAGGACTTACATTAGTCATTCTAAAAAGCATCAGGTAACAAAGATTTTAAGATTAATACATCATCATAGTGATATTATCATATCATTTTATATATACTTATTTTCTTCACAAAAGTGTCTCTTGATTTGGAAGACAACGAAGATGACTTCCAGTCCAGCACCAGCTCTTTGTACAAGTCAACGAACCCCACGATCCAAGAAGAGAAAGCACTCCTTGAGGAACCAGGGGCAAACCAGTATGGTTGTTGCAAGCCTAAAGACCACTGGAATGCCACTTATATTATTTTCTTCCTCCTTGGAACCAACTCTCTCTTGCCCTTAAATTTTATCATCACTGCAAAACATTACTGGATGTACAAGCTTCAGAACTGCTCAGAAGACATTTCTCCCGAAGAGCAGGGATCCTCAGATATCCGTGTAAGTATGACATTTTTTAATGATTTGACTTGACTTTGCTACATCACTTTCTGTCCGGAATGGTATAAGATCTTGAGCAGAGGGCTGGACTAGAAGACCTCCAAGATCTCTTCCAACTCTGCTATTCTATGTTCTATGTATAGATCTGGGGCTTCTATTTTTATTAGTAGCAAATACAAGGGTAAGTAGAGTCCATATTGACTCTCAGTATTGGTTCAGTGTTGAACAAAATGGCAGTGATAACGTTAATATTTCTAGAATTACATTCCCTTCTTTATCGTTTCTCCCACTAAGCTTTTTGTGATTATACCTTTATTTTGCCATTTTTTTTCCTATTCACTTGAAATGTTAGAACAGTTCCCTTGAAAATTATAGCTTTATATTGTCTTACACCCAACAGCCAGTGAGACCTAGTGGTGAAAATATTAACTTTTAAAAAGTTAGGTGTATTATAAGATAAAATACAAATTGAAACAAAAATCAAGAAAGATAGAAACAAAAGTGCAAAGATTAAGACAGAAAAAGGAAGAAAAAAGTAGTGATTTCTGACTTTTTCCAGTGCAGCAGAGTATAGGAAAACTTACCTCAATCTTTTGCTTTACATTTCTAGTTAGTTCAAACCATTTCTATAAAAACAAAGTCAATCTAATTATCAAAACCTAAAGCTTCATTGTTTTTTGTTTCAAGCGTAAAGGCCAGACGCAGTTTCCAAGTGGAAACAAGACTAGGTAATTTCTCTTTAATTAAGGCAGTCAATTTTGTATCTCTGCCAATACCATCCCCTTTGAGGGGTCCTTGGTGTTCTCTGAGCTTGTACTGATGATTTATTTATTTAGAAAATGTATATTGCTGCGCACTCACACATGGCGATTCAAGGTGGCTTACAAGACATAAAAATACAATATAAAAGAAATAAAAATAACAAAATAACCCCCCGCCCTGACAACAACACACATTCATACCAGTCATTTAATGGGCTCCATCCCACTCTGGGTTCCTCAGGCCTATTGGCAGAACCACGTCTTCATGGCCTTCTGAAAGAGAGGGGGGGCAGTCTAATTTCCAGAGGGAATGATGTTCCAGAGAGAGGGGGCCACCATGGAGAAGGCCCTTCTTCTGGGTCCTGCCAGATGTATATCCTTAGGGGACGGGACCCACAACATCCCTTGCCTCTGTCATGCCTCCGTCTGAGCCTGAATCTGCAGAGGAAAATGAACTGGAACAGGACCCTATGGAGGCCAAGGGAGAGGTGTCTGTGGCTTCAGAGGAATGTGGGGAAGAGCAGGCCGAGGCAGGCCAGAGCCCTTCAGGAGTGGAACAGGAGGAACAGGTGAGGCAGAGTTCAGGCGATGAGCAAGGGCCACCCCCACCTGATCCTAGAGCACGGAGAGTGGACAGAAGGAGGGAACAACGCAGGCAGGCTCAACTACTTGGGAGGAGAGTGTCCCGCCCCTCTCCACAAGGCACACCTGGAGACTGAGATTTAAGAAGACACTGTGGGGAGGGGCATTTATCAGGAACAAACACTGATTCTTGAAGTGTTGTGTATTGTTGCTGATCTCTTGTTCTGTGACTTCTGTTTGGAAACCTGGAAACTCGACCTATTGGATTGACTGACCACATTACTTGAATGTTTAAAGACCTCAGACTGTATTTCGGATTCTCTCTTTTGAATGCTCAGGCAAGCTAGGATTCAAACAGACTCCTTAAGTTTATGTTTTCTTCCTTGTTATCTCTATGGCCTTGAGTACTTTCTTATGCTAATCAGACTGTATTTGAACCTACTTTCAGCCAGAGTAGACTGAAGGAGTGTGTGTGTTCTTTTGTTGGAGGCTTGCCAGCAAATGTGGGAGCATTTGTGGAAAATTTGGAGCAATAAAAGAACTGTTTGAATTGCCGGCTGACTGCATTGCCTCTGTGCTGTGCCCTGGGTCATCACAGTCTCCCCACCCTAGTGGGTTGGGTAGATGTGACCGGCAAGAGATAACCTGGTCCCAAGCTATGAAGGGCTTTCGAGGTGACAACCAGCACCTTGAATTGCATCTGGAAGCAGATTGGCAACCAATACAGCTTCCGCAGGAGAGGTGATACATGCACACACCAAGGTCTGCACAAAACCATGGAGGCTGCTGCATTTTGCACCAACTGGAGCTTCCAGATGCTTTTTAAGGGCAGTCCCATGTACTGTAGACCGCATTGCAGTAGTCAAGATGGGAGCTAACTAAGGCCTGAGTAGGGATTGTTGGTTCAGGAAAGGGCGTAACTGGCACACACCCAAGCAGTTGTACAAAGGCCCTCCATGACTGCCACCAGCTCTTCACGCTGAGTCCAGGAGAAATCCCAGATTTCACTGGGTCTGTTTGGAGCAGTGCCACCCCATCCAAGACCAAAGGTGGCAATTCTCCATGGACCAAAGAACCCCAAACCCAGAGCCACTCGGTCTTGCCATGATGTTACCTATACCTGCAAGAAAACAACCAAGCTCAGAGAGCAGCAAGGACCCCTCATGTCAACCCTGAGCGACAAACGTTTTCCTTTATTGGTACCATCTGGTTTACCATCCATTCTTTCATTCTGGAGTTTCTTGAATCTTTCCATCTTTGTGCATAGTGAATATGTTGGACTTGAAACAAGGAGATCCAGGTCCTGGACCACTCTCATCCATGAAAGCCCCCTGGATGACTTTGGGCAATCGCTCTTTCTCAGTTCAGTCTAACCAAAAACAGTTGTTTGGGGGAAAACAGGAAGAGGGAGCATTATATGTATTGCCTTGAACTTCTGAAGGGAGGGTAGAATAAAAACCTTAGAAATAATTGAAGGCTAAGTGTATGGATTGCTGACCCTGCATTATGAGTCTCTATACCAGACAGAATGCCCCAATGATAGAACATGTGTTTCTTCAGATAGCACCTTCTAAGATTAACCAGTTTGATTATAAGGCATAAAGTTTTATTAATTTTGTTAACCTGAAAAGATGCCACCAGACTCTCCCTGATTTGGGGCACCCTAGACTAATCCAGCTTTCCTTTATTGTATAGAAGCAAATCATTGACTGGCTTCAGCTGGGTTTGCAAAGATAAATATGATTTCTGTCAATAAATAATTAGGCGTTTTAATGTAGGGAAATGTAAAAGCAGGATGATAAAGCAGGTGACAGGTCAGGGCGCAGGGGTGTCAAACTGCCGGCCTGTAGGCCGGACGCATCATCGGGAAACCATGTCCACCCCATTGCCGACAATGGCAAAAAAGCTCCGATATGTTGCACGATGTCATGTGACATCATGAGTTTGACATGTCTGGGTCAGGCAATGGTCTTCTTATTTTTGGAAGGGAAACTTTCATAACTCTTTGCAACAACCACACTTGCTGAACTGATGGTAGTGATGTCAAACACAGTTGGAAAGTAGCAGGTTTCCTGCTCCCGTTCAGTTCATATTAGTAGAATTTACAGAAAATATACATTGGGTGGAGAAATTGATAGTGTTCAGGTTTTTCTTCCATCTCTCTGGATTTTTCTTCCCCCGTGGGAAATAAAATTTGGAATTACATGGACTTTTGTTTTAGACACTGAAATTGATCTGCAGAAGATTCTAGATCACTGCTCATCCCAACTCCTGAAAGATTTTGCTGATGTTTAGAAGAGGTGTGTGTGTCTCTGTGTGTCTCTGTGTGTGTGAAGCACAAAGAGAGAGAGAGAGAGATCGTTTAATGTGATTGCTTTACAAACAAATACATCTTTTTTGCTTATCCACATAGGCATTTGAAATTCCTTCACTGCCTTGCATAGGAATCCTAATTCATAGAGAAGAAATCAATACAAAAGAAGGTACAAATTGCCAGCCTTGAGATAAAATACTTTCTGAGCCTGATAAATGTTTATAGCTTTTCCAGTTGCCCTGACCATCATCTGTTAAGCTAACAGACATAAAGACAATTTTTTATAATATATGGACCATGACAACTTTCCAGCTACATAATTGTAACTGCTATTTAAATCAGTAGCTCCAGCGAATAAAAGACCAGTGCAGATCACAGGTTTGAATCTGATAGGCAAAGATGGAGACAAAATTCTCATGATAGGTTTTGGGAATGCAGTGCTCTGCTTAGTCATTACATGTAGACCCCTTGGCCATGGCAAGTTCAAGAAGCAGATTTTGGAGGCTTGAATCGTTATCAGGCATACAAGGCTGACCTAGGCCCAGTATTTATTTATCTTGTAGCTAGGAGGAATAGCAGAATTAGAGAAGAGGCAGTATAGCTTATTCTTTGTAGGCATCACCTTTGGAAAAGGTAGATGTGCCTTTTGCACTGAGATATCAACTCCTCTAGCCAAGCAGAAAGTCAAATCATAGTTCCCATGTAATCAGATCTGCCAAGCATTGGTTATTTGGAATATATACTATATTCAACTCCAGTCTTAATCAGAGCACCAGTAATGAAGGAGAATACTTTAGCCCTTTGGCATTGTTCTGAACTAGATTCCCACTTCCAACAGCTATGAGATTCTCAACAGGAGCTTCAGCAAGAAGGTGAAGTAGATTCGGAAAATAGAGAGGAGCTGGAGAACTACTTGTCTCCTTCTAGCTATTCTGTTCCAATAAAAATCAAAATTCCCAGAGGCTGACTGCAAGAGGTCCTTTAAAAATGTAGAATCAAGATGCTGGAAGATACAATAGTACTAGGTCTCGTGCAGGGGTCCCCAACCCTTGGTACTGGTCCACGGCCCATTGGGAACTGGGCTGCACAAGCGATGGGTGAGTGCACAAAGCTTTATTTGCACACGTGCAGGATCAGATTGCACACACAAAACCATCACCTCCCCCCCCCCACCGCTGTCACCACTGCTGGTCCAAAAAAAGTTGGGGATCATTGGCCTAGAAGATTCTTCATATGTAACTTTTTGCTCCTGGAATGAGCAAGTGGATATCTGCCTTCCTAAAACATTTTGCCAGCTTTCTGCTTTTACTGATGAAGCTGTCAGTTTAATCACAAGCTCCTCT